TCATATATGGATTTTAGGCATGGATCAGGGGAGTCTCAGCCTACAATCCCACTGCCAGAGAGACTGGGAAACAGGAAGGACCCTGAGAGAGATATGCATGGTAACCCAGAGAAGAGGAATGAGGCAAGATCTCCTGAACAGATTGGGAGCATGGGGGGAGAGAGGGAGTTGGGGGCGGGGGAAGAGAGGAGGAGAAGAGGCGGGGAGAGGAGGACATGGGGGAGCAGGAAGGCTGAGTCGGGGGAAGAATAGAGGAGAGCAGGGAAGAGAGATACCATAATAGAGGGAGTCATTTTAGGATTGAGGAGAGATTTGGCACTAGTGAGATTTCCATAGATCTACAAGGATGACACCAACTGGCAAACTAAGCTATAGTGAAGAAACTACCTCCAATGCCTCTCCTTGATGACTTTGACACTACCTTATATGCCATCCTAGAACCTCTATCCAGTGACAGATGGAAGCAGAGGCAGACACCCACAGATAAACACTGAACTGAAGTCCTGGAACCCAGTGACAGAGAGGGAGGAGTGATGAGCAAAGGGGTCAAGACTGGGCTGGTTTAACCCAGAGAAGCAGCTGACCTGAACAAGGGGGAGATCTTGGACCCCAGACTGGTGGCTGAGAGGCCAGAATGGGACTAATCCAGACCCCCTGAAAGTGGGTGTCAATGAGGAGGCCTAGGTAACCTAGGGGGCTTTGGCACACAATGGACTTTGCATGCCCATCCCACAAAGAAGGATACTCTCTTGGCCTGGATACTTGCCCTGAATGAAATGACAGACTCTGGAGATCCCCCATGGAGAGACTCACCCTCTCTGGGGAATGGAGTGGGGATGGGGGGGGCTGGGGGGCATGGGAGGAGGGAAGGGAGCTGGGATTGACATATGAAGCAAGCTTGTTTCTAATTTAAATAAAAAAATTTAAAAAGTGGTGCAAGAGAGAAAGATACCATATGACAGAGCACATGTCGGAGGGGTTATTAGGGGAAAGTGGATGGAAAAAAGGAGGCAGGGGAGTGGGGAGACTGGCCTCTAGAAACAGGAGCAGCAGAAGAGAAAAGAGAGGGGGGCAGAGAGACAAGGAGAGAAGCAGAGAGAGAGAGAGAGAGGAAAAAAGAAAGGAACACACACAGAGAGACAGACAAGGATATATATATATACATATATATATGTAGAGAGAGAGACAGAGAGAGACAGAGAGACAGAGACAGAGAGAGAGAGAGATGGGAGGTGGGCAGGACCGCTTTAAAAGGGAACATAGTGGATGTGCACAGGTGGTGCTTTTAGTGGTGGCAGCTGAGGCATATCCTGTCAGAACCCCAAAGGCAAGCCAATACAGATGCCTGAATACTAACACATAAAACACCCCATATGTACACGCACACACAAAAATAACAGCCACTGATATATTTAGCACTTGTGTGAATGCTGGCTTTGCAGAGTAAGGAGAAAAGTTGATGGATAAGAGTAACTGGCTTTGATTAGAACTCAGCACTAGATAAAGCAAAACTTCAAATAAGTAGTCATCCAACCTATTTCTACCTCTCAAGCTTTCTGAACAGGGAGAGAGAGAGAGAGAGAGAGAGAGAGAGAGAGAGAGAGAGAGAGAGAGAGAGAGAGAGAGAGAGAGAGAGAGAGAGAGAGTAATTTTCAATGGCAAAGAAAACTTTTTCTCAAAGATGAACGAGGTAGCATTGGCAAGTTCCCTGTAGCCAGGAAGAAAGAATAGGAAAGGAAACCCATGTACTAGTCAGAGCTGGAGGCTAGCAGAGCAGTTATGAGAATGTAATCGGAGGAAAGGGACAAGGAGTGGTGGCTGTGGGAGCAGGCAGGAGGCATGTACGGGGCAACAGGACCAGCGCTGCAGTCAAAGGCAGCAGACAGACTTCTGCCCAGCTATGGCTCCCGTTCCAGTGTGACCAGAGGTGACGGGTACTCTACTCTCCATGGTTGCACATGGTGTCTGGTGCACTTTTGTAATATTACTTTGGTTTTGTAATCATATCAAATATTGCTCAGAAACATTTTCCATGTTGTACAAAGTCTATTATTCTCATCCTATAAATGTAGAAACCGAGACACACTCAGCAAACAAGTTGAAAAGACAGTTTCCACACATTTCTTCCTTCTATAGCTTTGAAGTTTCAGATGGTCAACAACTCAGTGCCAGGAAACTCCCAATGGGAAGGGTTCATTAAGATCTGGAGGAGGAAGGGGAGGGAGAAGGGATAAGAGGGAGCACTGTTCCTTTATTATTTCCTTTCTGTTTTCTGAAACAACCACCTTTTCAAAAAAACTGAAAAGAGACTGGCTTCCAATGCTACAAATCTGGCATTTGATAATTTTCAGTTAATTACAGATGGCATTTGTTTAACATTTAAGCGATCTGAAAAAGGAGTTGTTGAGTATTAGCCGAAGCAGTAGCAAGAGTTATTCTAGGCTCCTGGAACCATGAGTCAAGGTAAATAGAAGCTCTTTCATTAGAAAAGGGCACCAGGACAGCCTGTGAAGCGTTGTTCAACTTGGGCTTTGACTTACTATACCCTTAAGAACTGGCCCAGTCTCAAGGTAAGGCTGTCAGGACAGGAAATACAAGTGACGCTATGGAAAAGTGACAGGCTTTCGGTTGCATTTACACACAGAAAGGCTAAAGCTGAAAGGGAAGTTTGCTGTGACCCAAAACATACCCAAACAAAGGTGAGAAGTGAGCTGTGACTGGAAATTCCCTAGTCTTTCCTATTGACCCTTTGCTAAGGTAGATAGTCTAAACAGTAAGTGTATCTACAGAGTATCAGCTTGTTGTCTATGAACGCCGAAGAAACGCCTGGGATGTTGATCAGGTATTAATGCTGCAGAAATTAAAATGAGAAGTAATTGTACTTGACCTCAATGTGTTAAACTATCCACCTTATGGCAGAGAACATTTCTAGAAGCCTGTATATTGTCACACCACACAGAGAGCTATATAGTGTGAGTGAAAACTGTACTACTGGTAAACCTTATTTACAAGTAGGTAAATTCCACAAAACAACGTTGATTTGGCTCTATTTCCAGCTTTAATTTTCAAGCACTAGTCTTAGTAACGGCCCCTATGTTTGATTATCTAACAAAAGAAAATGGGGATCTTGGAAGAAAATCAGTGGAGGAGACTTTGGATATGGGTAGATGATGCTCACCTCCCTCTTTCCCCCATCCAATGTACATCTCCCATGCTCATTCCCAGATTCACTTCACAGCTTAGCCTTGCCAAGAAACTCCTCTCTTTCCTTAGTGGAATAAGCCTGTTTCAGAGATGCCCCAAGCAGGGTCCCTGACTCCTGCCACACGGCTGAAGGAGCAAGACTTTCTTGTAAGCAGATAACTCCGTTGTAGTGGTTGATCTGATTCAATTAGAGACCGAGCTAACTTCAATTTCCACATTCCAGGAGAGAGGGCTGCCCTTTTACACTGAGCCAACAGACCCTTGTCCTGACTCAAGCCATCACTTCTCTGCAATTAAAGAAAACACCCGGACTGTGATCCACGATGCGCAAACAAATTTGTCTGACTGACCTCTAGCAGTGAGGAACAAGGCACTGTTTAGCAGGGTTACATGTACCAAATGCTAAACGGGGGAGTGTTTACTTAGTAAGTAGGTGACTAATGCACCGGACTCAACGTTTAACGTCGACACATACATGCCTCTGTACTTTGGGACCTTTTAAGGTATGACTAGACTAAACTATTGGCACCACAGATGGGCGGTGCCTCCTTTCCTTTGTTTATACACTGGTTCATTTCTGTGGCTGTAACACAGAACTGGTGACTTTTTGGGTATCACTGGGCACCATTGCTCGCATAGCATTGCAAGGTGGCAGAAGACAGCTAGAGAGTCATATATATCAACCCCATAGTAGAAAGGTAGAAAGACAGACGGTTTGGATGGGCAGTTCCCATTAGCATTTGGAGTATTGGCCTGGACAACAGGGCCTTCTGGAGAAGGAGATTGCCCATGGTTCTGAAGGAGCCGTGTCCAGTGCAAACATATCCAGTGAGAAAAGGCAAAGGTCTTACACTTTAGGCTTTCAAACCTAACACTGTCAGACCTGGAGCAGATAACTAATGGATATTTTTTGGGGGAAAAAAAAACCTTTAGATTCCAGGTGTGAAAAAGAATTCAGGAGTTTGCTATTCTCTGTTGTCAGGAAACCTACCCCAAGAGGCAGCCAATCTTCCAGAGAGTGGCTGTTTTGGTAGGGTAACAGGATGAGTCAGTCTAAGCAGATTTACCAGCAAGCAAACTGCCCACAAAGCTGCCTTTCTTCTCCAACTGAAGGCCTGCAAAAGGGTGTGTCACACTCCTAGCTCTGCTCTCCCAGCGAAAACAGTTTTGCATAGTATTTGCTGTACCAGAATGTCCCAGTTTTCTGGGAAAAATGTCACCTGTGATTTTTATAACCACAGAAGTGAAGGCTTCATGTATCATTCCCTCCATCCTATGGGAGGACTTTCATTCCTTGACATATTTTTATTGTTGTAAGAGCTGAAGACAGAACGACCTTTCCAGTCTAATAGAGGTCCTATTAGTTCCAAACCTTAGTTCCTCTATAAAAAACAAAACTAAAACGTCTATGAAATAACTCACTTAAAAAAATCAAAGCATTAGGAAAATTGTCTGAACTCAATGTTTTTGAAGGCAAGGTGTAAGTCACATTTGGGTATGATCAGGTGTGAAATTCACCTGTTATGTTATCTCAAGCTGGATCAAGTGTGATTCCCAGGGAACTCTGCCTCTAAGGGAATGGGAGGGGCCAGGAAGGACATGCTATCATTCTGGGGGCTACACTGAGAATGTATCCTTCTTATTGGCCTAAAGGTTGGATCACACACCCTAAGCAGGTTGGCAGCTGGTAGAATGCCTGGGTGAAGTACATGTTGCTTGCTCATTGGCTGGCTGTAGAGGGCTGTCCTTTAAATAGAACATGAGGCTAGTGAGTGGTTCAGGTTCACCAGCCATAGGCATGAGCTTGCTTTTGTTGGCCTAGCAGTGAAAACAAGTGTGCTGACCCATGATTTCTTACCAGGTCCTACTTCTGCCCGAAAGGGTGAGTTGTTCATTTGGCTGGGTAGAGGAAGCTTTGCCGTTTGGCTGTGGAACAGAGGATGTTCAGATAGATGGGAACCCTGGTCCTGATCAAATTATTGATGATCTCTTGCCCATGAAAATAACTACAACGGTTCCAACTTTAATGTGAGCCTCATCCTGGGATGGGTCCAAGTCACCTACTCAAGGCTATAGACACACAAGGGAATGGATGTTCTGAAGTCTGCTCTTTTCTCCTGTGTGTGAAGCTCAGTCCTGTCCAGCATAAAGATTAGGATCCCAGACTCTCCTTCTGATGTCTCCTTCCTTCCCACTCTCTTCCTGATTTAGATGGAAACACGGTAGTGCTGTTGCATAGTGGAATGAAGATGGGATTGCAAAATCGGAATTTGAGGTTTAGCTTTGCCGAATGTTGGTTTTGTAACTTTAGGCGAATTTCAACCTCTTGGGGTCCCTGTTTATGCAATTTGTAGAATTGGAGTAAATAGTGTGGGGTAGAGAAGAAAAATTAGCTATAGAAATAGAGGGAATGGGTTTGAATACTGGTTCCTTGACCTCTGTGGCCAGAAGACAAGGCATTAATATCCACTGTATAGGAGGATTGAATAGTGTGTCTCGTGAGACAGAATGCTTGAATGGAGAGATGTGAAAGTATCTAGAAACAATGTCTAACGTGCTGCAAGGAACACACAAATATTATTTTCTTTGTTCATCCTCCGGGAAGGAGCCCAAACTCTGTTGATATTCAGGCATCAAGGCCTTCTACTCATGTTGTCAATAAGCTCTTTGAGCTGAAGAATGAGAGTAGGTCAGAAAGTATTTATTTGCTCTGCTTAGTGGAAATGAATTCTATGGACTAGAAATGTAGAAAATCACCTATAAACAGCGTATGGATATTACTGCATGTTCACTTTCTTGGCTTCATTCACAGCATGCAGTGCAAAGCTACAATGAACTCGGTATGCAATGCAGCTTCCCCACTGGTCTCTGCACAGGTGTCTAATCCGACTTCCCCTGCACACGAGCCACCCTGACACAGTCACCCGGGACAGCCTTTTCTTAGTCCACCCACTACAGTCATCGTTTAAGCTTTGGCAAGCCCTTGTGTCCTCAAGTTCTGTGGGCACTCTTCGGTGAAGTTTCAGTGTTTACTCAGATGAAGGCTTCCTGACGGTGGTTTGTTCTACGTTCCCCACACAGGGAAAGCAAGGAGAAGCAAGCTGCTGTTCTGGAGACTTCCGGAGGAAGTGCATGTTTTCAGATGTGGGTGCTCGGAGAGCTCCGTGTTAGGAAATGATTCCCCCAGGATACCTAAATTGTACATAATTTAGTTATTGTTTTCCATAAGCTGATGAAGTACTGAGCTCTCCTACCAAGGCCCTTGGATGTTTAGGGGTGGGGTGAATGACAGATGAAGGGACAGTAAAAAGGGATAGCTCCTGAGACAGATGTTTCTAGAGTAGGAACAGAGAAGACAGTTCCAGAAGCAGAGTACAGCCAGCTGTTTGAGACACTGCAATCAGCAACACGAAGACTGAGAACACAGATCTCGAAACACAGCCGAGTCCATTTGTCAGTGTTGGGGTCAGGAGTTACTAGGTGAATTTATGAGAGAATGAGACATCAAGACACTTATCACAGACAGCTTTCGAGTTATGCCATTCCCTGATTTATGTTGTACTCAGTGTCCAACAGTTTTTCACATCATTATGTCACAGACAGTGAACTTGGGATGGGGAACGCCTATTATCTCTGCTTTTGTACTCATCATTTCATTGCAACAAGTACAGGTTCCCAAATCGACTTAGGAAATCCAAGCATAGGGCAGGAGAGAGGAGAGATGAATATTTTAGTGGTCAGAAACACCTGCTACTCTTGCAGAAGACCTGAGTTCAGCTTCTAGCAGCCACGGCAGGTGACTCAAAACTGCCTGGAAATTCAGCTCCAGAGGTCTGCTGTTCTCTTCTCAACTTGGCCGGCAGCTGTGTATGAATTCTCATGAGTGAGCACACAGAGAGAGAGAGAGAGAGAGAGAGAGAGAGAGAGAGAGAGAGAGAGAGAGAGAGAGAGAGAGAGAGAGAGAGAGAGACAGAGAGACAGAGACAGAGACAGAGAGACAGAGAGACAGAGAGACAGAGAGAGAGAGAGAGAAGAGAATAAATCTTAAAGGAAGGAAGGAAGCAAGCTAAGTCAATATGGCTTAAAGATCTTTCCCAACTGAATTATTTTGGTGAATTCCATTTCCATCCAATTCCTGCCTGATTGCCTCATGGCAGCTATTATTTCTTTCAAGCTTGTAAAAATGACAGGTCACAAAATCACTTAGGTATATATTATAAGAATCTGAGGGTCAAGGGACTTGATACCACCACAGTTTTTCTTTTAAAGGTGCCTTACCCAGGATATGCATCTCTAGCTGCCACAGCATCCAACATATGGAGTCCTATTGTCCTAGCAGTGGGTCATCTAGGGGCTATACCTAGAGTCTCCCCTCTTTCAACATGGGAGGCCTACTTTAAAGAAAGCCTTTAAGGTGTGTCTTCAGGCACTTGCCCAGGAGGTGATGGTACCACTTACAAGATTTTCCCACTGGGAAAATTCTTCAGCTCCCCAGAAAATGTTAGTAAGACGCTATGATGTTATAGAAGAAGAGCCCAACTTTCTATTTACACTGCATTTGTTAATGGGTATTTTTCTAAGCCTTTTAATCTCTTTCCCCTGCTGAGTTCATTTTTATTTTAGATCAGCCTTTCTAAAACACAGCTCAGTGTGTTCTGTTTTATGTCCCCAGAAGCCTGACTGCTACACAGAAGTGGGTCCTATTGGGTAGGCAGCCTGTTTATAATGGGCAGATAAATCTTCTTCCAGCAAACTGTGCATTCCACGGCAGCCCTGGCATATCTGACTCTTAAACCATCTCTTTGTTTGTTTCCCAAACAGAAGGCGGCCAAGTCACCCATAGTGTTCTTCCAGCATTGCAAGGGCATCCCCACGCAGGTTTCCAACTTTTGCTTAGAATTTTTTTTTCCCCTGAGCTGCCGTTGTAAAAGTTTAGTGTGCTTTGGGATGTGTCATCTCTTACGTTTTTTAAGGAGTCAACTGTGCTGAAGGTCAGCGTACGCAGCTCTGGGATTTCATTTCGGGAAATTCCAGGACCGCAGCTCAGCTTGCTCTGTCGAGCTGCAGCCTGCTGTTGTTGCAGCTGTTGAGGAACACAGAGCGCACTTATTTTCAGTCAGCTGGAGCTTCCTGTACGAGCTACCCAGATGCCTTTCTTATTGCTACTCAACCGAGACTTTTTTTTTGCAAGATTTATCACCTCAGCTTTAGCGTTACAGACATGTGGAATACAGACCCCTAGGGTCTGGTGACTCTGAAACTCTGAGATGCCAGATGCCCCCGTTAGCCCATCCTCTACCATTCATTGGGTAGCTCCGTGCAGACTAGGGAAACGGGGTGAGGATTTGAATGACCGCGTGCTTAGCCTCTTTCCTTGTATTCTAACCTCAGCTGTGTCTCGTGAGAGACTTATGTGAGACACAAGGGGAGTTCAGTCAGAGCCTTGACACCAGCTCTGCTATCTTAAGATCAAAATTTAGGGACCTACTCATGGTCATGTGTCTGATCACGCTTTTACCCTCATATAATGATTTTGCTATATTTGATCATGGGGTTAAAAGTGTCAAGACAGTAAACAATAGACAAGGAATTTCTGTCACAATGGAATATTTATTCTTATAATTGTGTCTCTAGGCGCCTGATAGCATCATGTTTAATAGCCACAGCTCTAATATGATCGTCGGTTCTTTCTGACCTTGTCAGAAGTCTGCATTTTCCAAAGATAAAGCTACACATGTATATTCTGTCTGGATGAACACTCATGTGCACACATTTGTATTTGCTTGTATCAATAGTTCATTTGTCTTAGGGACAGGAGGAAAATGTGTCTAGGTTTGCAAAAATTAACAGCAAAGTGGTAAAATAAATTGTTCCAGTGTATACATAGGTATTTAAGTTCTGGTAGCTTATGTCTGTCGCAAGCAGCAAAATCACGAAAGCAGAGGCAAAATGGCTATGTTCTAAAATAAAAAGAATGAAAAAGTTCCGGCTTCACTCCCCACTCCATCTTCCCTCTCTTCACCCAATAATATGCATCACCGTTGATGAGCGTTTTGGTTGTAAATCCTGTGGAAATAAATTGTCTCTGCTTTACTCTGGCGATCACAAGCTGTTTCTTCTCATCATCCTTTAGAGGTATTGAATCTCTTGGCCAAGTCTGGCCCCAAACCAGCAAGCCACACTCTTTGCTTTTTGTCCAAAACCATCTATAAGAAGAATGGTTGCACTTCAGAGCTACTGCCCCGCCCCAGTGATGGTCCATTGACTTACTGGTGGTTAGAACTTTAAATTCCGGAGTCAGGCTACCCAGGTTGGAATTCAGGCTTTCCTCTAGTTCTAGCTGGACAGTCTGGGGCTATTTATTCTGAGTCTCATTTTTTAAAAATATTTTTGACAATGTGGATGCTAACAGCTCCTCTCTCACCTTGGCATTGTTGGGAACTGCAAATGAGATACAACATGCACATTAAAACCCGCAGAAACAGTTGCTCTTTCTATTACTGTGTGTGCAGTTAAGTCTTCTTAACTGAGAGAGGTGCCTAGATTAGTGGTTCTCAACCTGTGGGTCATGACCCCCTTGACAAACCTCTATCTCCCAAGATATGGGAATATTGTGATTCATAGCAGTAGCAAAATTATAGTTATGAAGTAGCAATGAAAATAATCTCATGTTTGGGGGGATCACCACAGCATGAAGAACTAAGTGTATTAAAGGATTGTAGCTTTAGGAAGGTTGAGAAACACTTGTTGAGATTTTTCCAAAGGTTCACATAAGAGGAACAGAAGCCCCTGGCTGTCGGCACAGGTGTTCCGTGGACCTGTCAGTCATGGAGTTGTTATTGTGTCCTGCTGTCTTGACTTTTAAAGGGCTAAAGGAGAGCACACGGTTATCCACCTAAGGGTATCCATTGGCCAGAATAGCTGACCTGAGTCCCTTACTGAACAAAAACCATCATTCTTTATTCATATTCTAACTTCCTCCCCAGAAAGGAAAACAATACCAGTGACAACAAGCCTTTGTCTAAGGTGCACTCAGCTAGATAAACAGATAAATAGAGCTGTGCCCAGTTTTTTCTTCTTTTCTACTATTCATAGGAGTGCACAAGATTATCCCTCTGAAGTTTCCATTTCCAGGATGAAAGCCCTTCCTGTGGGTGTAACACTCTTGTGTTTTCCCAGCAAGCTAGCTACCTCTGCCAAGTTGACTACCCTTAGTGTTTTTTATTAGCTTTATTGAACTTCATGTTAATTAATGATATTATGCATTCTTTTCTGGCTTCCTCAGCTCTTGGGAGTGAGGAGGGGTTTAGTTTCATGGAAGCTTCTCCAGGGTTAAAAGCACTTGCTGTTCTTGCAGAAGACCCAAGTTTAGTTTCCAGTACACACATCAGGTGACTCCTAGCTGCCTAACTCCAGCTCCAGCAGACCCTGCATCCTCTTTGGTTTTCACACCCCTGTACACACACACACACACACACACACACACACACACACACACACACACACACGGACCTGGAGAGGTGACTCCGTGTTTAAGATCAGCACTGGGTGATCTTCCAGAGGATTGGGTTCATTTCCCAGCACTCTCATAGTGATTCAAAATCATTTGTAACTCCAGTTTTAGGGGTCAGATACCATCTTCTAGCTTCTGCAGGCACTAGGAGTTCAAGTGGTGTGTAGTCACATAGTCAGCCGATGCACACCTACACATAAAAATTTCAAACATATATGTATATTTATATGTATATATTATATATACAAATACTTTGTGTATATGTGTATATATGTGTGCATATACACAAAGTAAACAGAATAACATGATTCCCACTATTATCAACTTTCTTCCTTTCCTATGTTCTCTCCAAATTGGTTGGTTTTGTTGTTTTTTTCCCTATGGTTCATTTTCTCTTCTTTATACCTTGAGAATTTCATACATGTGTCCAATGAAGTATTACCATATAACGCCCCCATTTCTTCCCTCCAACTCCCATTGTATCCTCTCTAGCAACCTTCAACTTGTTTCTTCTTCTTCTTCTTCTTCTTCTTCTTCTTCTTCTTCTTCTTCTTCTTCTTCTTCTTCTTCTTCTTCTTCTTCGGTCATCCTTCTGATATTGAGGTGAATCCAACTAGTGCTGCCCATGTGTATGGGTGTGGGACCACTACCAGAGCATGGGAAACCCACCCTGGACCACAGCAGCAATCAACTGCCAGCAGCCTCTCATTAAGGGGAGGGGCCTGGAGATCTACATGGGAATTTTGGATGACCCCATCTAGCGCAGGTCTTGTACAGGCAACTACAACTGATGTGACTTCATTACTGTCATATCTATGTCATATTCAGGAGACAGCACCCCATAGCAACCCTACTCATCTTTCAGCTCTTGTGTTCATTCTATCTTCTCTTCTATGATGTTCTCTGATCCGTGATGAAGATGGGGTGTAGATAGAGGTGCTCCATTTAGGGCTGACCACCCAGTGCTTATTCTTTAACACTGAATCTATAGTTCATTTTCTGGGGGTAACATTTATATGCTTTGAAAGTGTACACCTTTGAAAGATGGAGATACCCACAGACTCCCTTAGCACCATATAACAGAACATTTTCATCTCCCAAGAAAATCCACTTGTTCCTGGGGTGTGCCTACATTGCTTCCCCAGATGTGACCATTCTTCTGATTTCTTCTCATTTTAAGTTAGTTTTATAGAACATCATACATGTGAAATTGTGCAAGATTTCTCTTTTGTGTCTATCTGATGTAATGATAACTCTTCTTCCCACCAGCCAGGCCACAGAGCTGCATCAGTCCCAGATAACACACAGAGACTTTACTAGTTACAATGCTGTCGGCCAATAGTCTGTTTTGCTTCTAAAATGTCTGCAAGATTCGCCTAGTGATGCTTAAGCCAGTTCCATCAATACTAGAAGAGTCAACCACCTTTTTTCCTTCTCAGTTTAAGGTGGGTCTAGGAGAGAACATTTCCATCACGGAAATTGGCAAATGCTGCATATCCTTCTGTTCTGTGAAGTCAGCTCTCAACTTGTCACTGCAATCCTTCATGTGGCTGCGTGAATTGACAGTGTGGTTCTTTATACTGCCCAGTAGCATTTACTGACTCTACATGCCTTTTCTGTGTATGCACATATTCGTGTGCGGTATATGCTAGACATGCTATTTTTATTTGGGGATAGACTTTTTTTTAACCTTTTGTCAGTCATACCTCGTGTATTTCAAACTATGTTATTAGGTCTGTAAAAGACTAGAGTTGTCCTTGACAACGGGGCCTTTGAAACTTTTATTACTATTACTAATAGTATTATTTATTAAATGCTACTTTTAAAATAAAATATTTAATGTTATGTGTATGTACAAGCATGCACATGCTGTACACACAAGCACGCAATGCTGCACATATGTGTGTGTATGTGTGTGCAGAAAAACATTCATACACGTAAGTAGGGTAATCTATCTTCTTTAAAGAAAACCTTGTGTTATTCTCTTAATCTTCACTAGATTTTAAATTATTTGCAAAACTTTCAGGCCACATTAAATGACAATATCACCAAATTTCTGATTAATTATGTAAACTCTTTATTCCTGAAGATTGGGTAAGAAATGATCCTATGGCATGCAATAAAAATCTTATTAAATTTTTATTAGTACCTAAATCATATATAAACATTCTAGGTGGATAGATATTATGTAGAATTGTGCTAAAATATAATATTTTGTATTTCCCTTAATGTTTTATATTTCTGAGTTAAACAAACTTTTATTGAAACTCACATTGTGGAATAGAAGTATATTTCAACTGATTAGAGGGAAATTATAGTACCAAGTATGATTTCTTTATGAAGAGAAAAGTATGAAACCCCAATTTTCCCTAATCTGTCATCCTAGGTTATTTCACTATTCAACCTATAGTTTTCATTTATCTAGGCTTTATTCCATACAAATTTGTACACATGTTCAACACTGGTAGTCTTGCTCTACTAGAGGTGGAGAAAAACAAATTAAGAAATGTCATAAAAATTACTGTGGAATACTATTCAAGAATAAATTGCACCTTAAGCTTTCATATTAGGCACTAAAGTTACAAGAAGTAAAATTCATAAAGATGATTGACACTTCCTCAGTGAAATATTTAATCAGCAGCATGCTTAGAAGTCAAAATAGTGTCCAAACATCCAACCTCAAAATAAGTAGATTCTTCATTTAGAAAAAGAAAAGGGTATTTCATTTATAAATTTAGAAGGAACAAAACATCAGCATATCAATTCAGAAAGTGTCAAGAGAATATTGTGATGACATATATATATATTGCTGTTTTCTAAGTTGCTTAAATCTCCCAGTAACTGCAAATGCATCCGCAAGAGAGCAGCTCTTGAGGGCCATTGTTTTTGGTTTCTTCCCAGTGAGTATTTTCAGAATGTTATAACTTCATACATTCATACATTCTGCTACATAGGTATCTGAATTAACAGCATGGGATTCATTTAATGTGATGATGTGATGTCATAATTAGAGGAAGACCAGTGCCTGGGATATACCTCAGTTGATAGAGCACTTGAATAGCATACAGGAAGCCCTGAGTTTCATTCCCCCATCCCACATGAAGGATATAAACTCAGAACAGCTTGTGGGCATCACAGTTTTTAACACTTGAAGACACAAGATGGAGAGCATTTGATGCTGCTTTGACTTGAAGTTTATAGTATTCCATTGTTGGAAATCAATAGCAGTTTCCATTAGTAGAAATCAATAGCAGTTGGCAATGACAGCAGAAAGGGAAATGCCCGAGGTGACTGGATTTACTGAGTCTACGACATTTATAATAATTGTCCCAACTTAAACCCAGTGTTAGGAATTTCTTCAGAATGCTGCTTAGCATGTTAGTGGAGGTATGACATTCCATTAGAGGCTAACTACTGAAGAGCATTTGCATAGTCTGTGCCTCCATAGAGGTCAGCTTCTTCTCCATCTATAATTCTTTGCAGAGTTCCCCTTCTAATCACTATTAGAGATATTTAGATTTTTTTATTCACTCATTTTCCTCACTTATCTTCCAAAAGAGTCTCTACCAATAAAAAGGAGGCCACATCCTCATGTCTTCAAAAGAAAAATAAGCCCAGGGACCTTCCCTCCCCTTTCCAATTTGGAGTATGAGACTAGTATATAAACCCACAGTGTTTCAAATGGAGGGGATCTGGGGTAGGAGATAGAATGGTGATGGAAGAAATTAAAGATTCAAGCGCAATGACAATGAATAAAATAGTCATACACAGATGATGACTGGGAAACTAAGGATTGCAAGTTCAGAGACGATGAATAAAATAGCCATACACAGATAACTGGGATCATTTTCTTAAAGAACTCCACTTGAGGAAGAAAAACTTTCATTGCTGTTGCAAACACATTCATACAAAGTAGATATTGATTTCTAATAACACTAGTAGATTTTTAATAACAGTAGCAGAAAGCAGAAATAGCTGCATGTAAATTTCTGGTGGCAATTTAATAGAACAGTCCCAAGTGGTTAACTCGGGCCAGTATCTAATGAGAACAAGGACCTCATCTCTGGGGAACTTAGGTGTGCCTGCAGAAATATTACACTGCATGAACTAAATTGAATTTTTCCACAAGTGTAAGGTTTCATAGAGTAGATGGATTTTCTTACATGCACTTCAATTTCACAGCAAACCCGGCATAGAATACCTGAACACGGAAGAGAGCATTAGTGCACGATATGTAATCCCTTTCAAGATCAACCTCAGCTACATGGTGAGTGTGAGGCTGTCTGGGAAATGTGAAACTCTGTCTCAGTATAAATTACATCTTAATAAATGAAAGTTAAATTTCATCTCTTTCTGCTGCTGCTGCTATGGATTAATTCAACTGTATTCAGGTTCCCCCTTTCGTTATAATTTTATTTTTTAAATAGGATTAACACTATTTTATTAAATTATATCTTTGATATAATTATATATTCAATACAGTTCGATATAATAATGATATAATGATGCTATTATCTCCTTGATGCTTACTTAAACTTCAGAATGGCTACACTGTCTCCACACACAGGGCTTTCTGCAACTCCACCGTGTCGGTAATGGAAAGCATAACCTGAGTATCAGCATTTTCAAAGCAGCCAATGCCTCTGTGTTGGTTTGAAAGAAAATGGCACCCAAAGGGAGTGACACTGTTAGAAGGCCTTTTTGGAGGAAGTGTGTCACTGTGAGGGCAGGCTTTGAGGTCTCTGTTTCTCAAGATTCCCTCAGTGTGACAGTCGGTCAACTTCCTGTTGCTTCTGAGTCCAGATGTAGCACTCTCAACTCCAGCACCACATCTGCCTGCATGCCGCCATGCTCCCCATCATTGATCATAAATGGACTGAACCTCTGAAGCTGTAAACGAGCCACCTCAATTAAATGTTTTCTTTATAAGAGTTGTGGTGGTCTTGGTGTCTCTTCACAGCAATAAAAACCCTAATGAAGACAATTATCTATGTGTCTTCTAGTTTTGTGCTTTGTTTTGTTTTTCTAATCGGCTCTACTCTTTCTGGTTCTTAGCAAAACTGGTTAAAAACAAAGATTGCCATACTTAGACATAGCACTCTGGCAAATTGAGATACTTAAAAACTTAAGCCTTATAGGGTAAAGAAAGCACTGTGCAGCACTGAGGATTCTGGTCAACAGGAGGTCTGACTTATACTTGTTTCAAAGTAACATTCTGGTTCTTGGATGATACAAATAGTCCAGTAAGTCCCACCACATGTCATTCCATTCATGAAATAACTATGAGGACAGGCAGTGTGGCATCAACAACAGAACCTGGTTTTGGGTCCCAAATTTTACTCTCATGGGTGACATCATTGGAAGTCACAACCTTTGTCATATAGAACTAGTTTATAATTGCTGGGTCCATAACTGCTAGGTCAAGCTTGATCACTCATGCTGGGTTTCATCTGGTCAGCTAATGACCTGGCTATCTGGGAAATCCAACATGGGTTAAGTACACAATTCATATATCCCATACAATATGTGCTCTACTGGGGGAAATTTGGATTTAGAAACTATTTCTTCCAGGAAATTCTGGTAGTGTCAGTACCCTTGGTAGGAAGGCTTTGTGAAATTCCATTTTGAAAAGAAAGTGATTTTTGAGGTAAGCCTAACCTATTGTAGTTCCCAGCTAGCTCCACCAGAGAAGTCAATTGCTTCCAACAGTGTGAACTTCTCCCAGAAAAAAACATACTGCCCTCACTAAGCACACAACTTCCTGCTTGTCAATTTTTGTCATGCTTAAAATGGAACATTTCACGTCCTATAAATGTACACCCAGTCAAATCTTCTGAAAGTAGGATGATCTGCAGATCCTTAGTTAGCATCAGATTACTTCCTGGAGAAACATAGCCACAGCAATCTTTTGGTCCTTTGGAAAGATATGTGCAACATCCATCACCATGAGCCTTGAGAACAGTCAACAATTGCAGAGAAACAACTCAACGAAGTCTCTTGCTGCCACTGTAGATTTCTCCAGCAGAGCCACAGAAGTTTGCTTCCTTTTTTGCAATAATTTTTATTAACTTAATATAATTTATCAAGTTATCTTGTGTGTGTGTGTGTGTGTGTGTAAATTGAGTATGAATCTATTGGAAATACAGGCAAATACAGTTCTCTCTCTTCCCCAGCTAAAAGTATACCAAGTACATGGCCAACCACACTGTGCTAGCACAAAGTTTGTAATAAAATAGAAAGATTACCATTAAACATGCTGGAGATAATTGTTTTTATGTTTTACGAAATGCCCATTTCACAAACTATCAGCATACTCTATTTCAGACTTACTGAAACTTGATTTCAGGTTCATCCCATTGTCCCTGTGTGAGTCACCATATCAGAGAGTTTAGTAGTGTCCTGTTGAGGACATGGTATTTTATACATTGTCTAGGAAGAGAAGGTGATGAACACTAACCCCCACCTCTGACTAGAGAAGGAGCTGCCTGAGAACAATGAGGAATTAGTCATGTGGAGGAACAAAGGGAATGCATGCTTTTATACCCTTTTAACCTTTTAATTTATTTTTTTAGAGTGGTGAAAGTGAGTATCCTTGTTCTAGATTATAAAATAAATTTCAGATGTTCCCATTCACTATAGTGTTAGCTATTGACTTATTCAATGTAGCTTTTTTTGTGTTGACAAGTTGACGAGTATAACTTTTATCATTGATCTGTTGAGAATTTTTGACAGGAATGGGGTTGGATTATGACTAAAGCCTTTTCTGTACCTATTGAGGTAGTCATAAATGTCTATACTGTGTTATATTTGATTAAGTGCATTATATTTATTGATTTGCAAATGTGTAACCATCATATCCCTGGGATGACTTCCTACTGACCATGGTGAAATCCTTTAAATGTTAGATTCAGTTTGCTAGTGCTACTGGAATATCTTAAGATGCTTTAAGCAGAAACCCTGTCTGTTAGGAACTAGAATGTGAGCTGAGCCAGCCTGGGCCTGACCTGAAGACATGGGAATCATGCACTTTTCTGGAATTGCTCATGTAATTGACATGGCTTTGTGCTCATTAATTCTATTATTTCTCCAGGAGCCTTTGCCACAAACCATGGAAATATGGGAGAGAAAGTGACAAACACTAATGGGTATCTGTGAATATCATATTTAGAATACTGCAGATTTTCTCAGAGATGATAAATACTAAGATATGAAGTAGTGACTGGCAAAGTTGATTTTCATTGTTTCATATCTAGTACTAAATTCATACTTAGATTCCATGTTTAAAATGTATTTTTAGCACAGGGATAATTTTTACAGTTTGATTTTTGGAAGTCTGGAACAAAAATGGCCAATAATGGAAGTAGTGGTGGCCAGATACCCCCCAAAAAAGGGATGTGAAGTTGGGGTGGCAGGAGAAATGGATAGTCTATCCTATTTTAAAAGTTTACATCCTCAGGGGTGAAGTTTTTTCTTCCCATAGTTAATAAAAGCTATAATTTTCATTGTAAACTCCTTACTACACAGGTTTTTAAAGGATGGAACATCTTGCATTTTTAATCATTAATGGTTTCTCTCAAATTACAATTATGTTCTTAATCCCTATCCTGCTAGCTGGCAATTTTCTGATGAATTGAGTTTTCATTCTTCTCCGTTTCATTAATTGCGTCTTGTAGAGTGGATAATAATAGAACCTTCAGAGCAGCACTTTGCCAACTGCAAAGGTTATGAAATGCCAATGAGCCCTTTTAAATGGCTGTCAACTCATTGCAAGACTTCCCAGGGTTCCATAGTTCCTTTAATTTTCCTTATTTTCTACACGTAATTATTTGAGAAGTATTTTTCAAGCTTCTCTTAAATATCCTTAGAAAGAAATGAACAGCTCTGATAGCTTGCTCTATGTAAACATGCTTACATACTCATCTAGTTTTTTTATGTCAACAAATTGTGTAAGGTATTTCAACTCTGTGTTTCTCCAGTGCACTGTCCCAATGGCTGAGCCTGATATCCACTGTGAAAGCAAAATAAACAAAAATAAGGAAAACTACCCCGAATCACAGTGGAAGGACTTTCCCTTAAATGCCATGATTGGCTGCTTCATCATTATTGTTGTGTTTTGCCCTTTCTTATAATTCCTCTTATTTCTTCTCTTTTTTCTTTAGTTAGATACTACATCGCTCCCCTACCCACTGCCAGTTTTCAACTAGTATATTATAATTATGTCATAATCATTCCATTATCCATGTAAATGCTTGGGATGCCTAAATTTACCACTTAATACCTATTAGACATGCTAACATGATGGGAATGAATATATCAGTTGAGAATGGACTTCCTGAAACTGCTATAAATGATATCTCATACATCAGTGGTTCTCGACCTGTGGGTGGAGACGCTTTGTGGGAGTCGAATGACCCTTTTATAGGGGCCACTTAAGACCATCAGAAAACACAGATATTTATATTATGATCCCTAACAGTAGCAAAATTTCAGTTATAAAGTAGCAATGAAAATAATTTGATGGCTGGGGTGACCATGCCGTGAGAAACTGTATTTAAGGACTGAAGCATTAGGAAGGCTGAGAACCACCATCCTACATGGAGACTAACAGAATCACATTTTATCTTTCCAATTAACTGTCCAAGATAACCTTCCTGGCCTTCAGTACTGTGATTTGGGTCTTCTTGTATGTACTCCTAGTACGCTCCTTCTCAGTTGCTAGACATTTCTAAATTAGTGGTTGGTCCCACTTGCAACTAGATAGAATGAGAATGAAAGAGTAACCAATCCTAGAGGTCATTGCATCAGTGTCCCTGCTGTAAATGTCTCCCACAAAGCAAACAGATTTTATTTGCTGCTGTAGATTGGTCTTTCTTACCTCTATTTTAGGTCTTTGAGATTTGAACTCATCATTATAACTCTTTCAGTGTAGTCTTCCCAAACTAACCAAGGATGTTTCTGTGGACTATCATGTCACTGGGGCAGATGGGGATGAGCTTGCAGGCTCATCTTTGTTGGGTTAGAGCCTGCCTTTTCTTAGTAACCTCTGGATAGGGAACCACCCAGGTTATTAACTGCCCACGTCCCCAGCCCAAAACTTTATTTCACACCTTTGATGCCCTTGGCAAGATTGCTTCTGTGAACTAATAAGATACTGAAACCCTTCAAATATTTACAATTAGAACTGTTGTTTTTTAAAATATTGTGTGTGGGTGTGGGTGTGTGTCCGTGTGTGTGATTCCATGTACGTGTGCACTCGTGCCTGTGTATATGTATGCCATGCAGATCAGAGGACAATTTTTGGCAATCAATTCTCTCCTTCCACCATGTGAGTCCTGGGAATCAAACTTCATATTCAGGCTTGTCAGCAAAAGTCTTTCCATGCTAAGTCATCTCACCAATCTGAAAATTATTTTCTTATTATTTTTATTCAAAGGGTTAATTACTTCACATCCGTTGTCAGAACTTTAGCAACTAACTTTGAAAAGCTATACACAGCCTCACCCAGGTGGGAACACTGAGAGCTACAACAATGACTGACTTGATAAGATATTCCCACTAGTTCAATAGCGGCACAAATGATTTGGGTGTAACCAACCATTTTATGATTGACTCTTAGGCTTACTGCATGATATAGAACCCATACCAGGCATTGTTAATAAGGCCAAAAGCCTGGGCCTAGATATGTCATAGGCTCTGTAGGAGAACCTAATTCTATTACTCTGAAAAATGGCTATAA